TTACGGTAAGATTATCGAAAACTAAATATTTTACGAGATATTTTATTTTTTATATCAAAATATGTCAGATTAAAATATAAAATAACTCAAAAAGTACTTAATGAAAAAATACTTTATTATAGTGTTTTGAAAAGCTCTCGAGATAAGCTACAAGAATATGCAGTAAAAAGTAGGCAGTTCCGTTTAAAAAATTGAAGGTGACCTTGCTTTTTTATGGAAAAAAAATGTTTGGTCAATTTTTATTCTTGCAATTTGTTGCCGGTTAGAAACTGATAAATTTCTGTTTATGACTTTTTTATGTCAGATTATTGTAAGTGCCTTAAAAATCGTGGCAACCGTTACGAGGACCACCCTGTATAAATAATTTAATGAGATGTTTCATGTTATATATATGCATATTTTATATCATTATCAAAAACAATAACAAAAACTTACTGGTATAATATGTGTCGGATAACTGTCCACTAACTTTTGACGCAGCCATATAAAATCATTGTAGCGTCTGCGAACTATGTATTCCCCTTCCTCAAATTCTGGGCGCGTAGTCTAGAATACATTATTTGGTATGTGATCGTAACATATATTAATGTTACTCTTACATGACCCGAGTCATATTTTGTTACGGCTATACTTACTCTAGTCGTTATACGGAATGTAATATACGTCTCCAAGGTTTCTAGATGTTTTTGCGGATTGTCTACTTTCACCTGCAGATCTCGCGAATCCATCTGAAAGTCTGATATCTCCTGATCCGGCAGAGTGGAAAAGCTATCGATAGAAGGAGATGCAATCTGCACAAAATATTTGTTAATCAACATAATAAACAATCGATGAGATGGAACTCCTCACTTCTCCCCTTTTCTTCCTAACTTATCCTCGCTAATAAAGTTATCACTATCAAAGTTCATAGCATATGTTATATGTATATATAATTACTTATACAGGGTGTCCCAGAATTAGACCAACAAACTTCAGGTAGTTATAACCAAGACAAGCCAATTTTGCCAATAAATCAAAGACTAACAAGGGAACCTCGCAAACCCGAAAATTCTGATTTTAACGAAACTTTACATACATGTAGGGGGGAGGGGGTGGGGAGGGGTAAATAAATGAATTTAGAATTTCCAGTTGCTGCCCAAAAACGATTCTAAGGCTAAGTTCCAAAACGGTGAAAAATTTTCTCTCCGAGGAAAATTTTACTCGATGGCCAGTCTGGAACCAATCAGAGATGCTCAAAAAAGTTTCGGAACGGCCATCGGAGTAAAATTTTCCTCGAAGAGTACGTTTTGGAACATAGCCTATGAAGGAAAATCACCCCTCGTATAAGGACCCTCATATAATTTTGCTTTTTTCGATATATCTCGAAAATCGAGATATCAAAAAATGTTTTATACAAAAGTTTCATGGCAAAAAGTTCTCTATTTAAGCACATTAATAAAATTTTGAAAAAATAATTTTTTTTTAAATATTTTTGCCCTTGTTAGTCTTTGATTCTCTAGTACCAAAACGGCTCATTTGCGGACACGGATTTATTGACAAAATTCGCTTGTTTTGGTGTCCTTTATAACCACCTGAAGTTTGTCGGTCTAATTCTGGAACATCCTGTATATGTTAAAAAATGTCTACTACAATTTTAATTGGCATATCTGTCATTTTGTACAGCATCAAGACACGAGGCGCAAAGTGAATTGTCAAAGTGGGTCCCAGGTTATGTTAGATTCCCTCATACCACGGACCCCTCGATGGAGGTGCTACAGTTGGACAGGAAATCGATGTCGCGGCTCTCCTGCTTGACGATTCCGCCCACCGCCATGGAGCTCACTTCCAGGATCGCTGAATCTTCGGGACCTTTCTCACCTCCCAGATTCTCCACCTCCGACGTTTCTGACGAGGTCATCATCTTTCGCGACTGTTCGCGACAGTTGGACAACACACCGTACACCGTCTGCTATGACAAATAACAACCGTCAGGCGCCAACCGCCTTCGCAGCTCGCAGCCAAACATATGCGCGCATGCCGCGCATATCATGCGCGAACAACAGCCGATGAGGGGGTGCACGAGGGGAAGTGCGCTTGAAAATATAATGATGACCCAAATTTTTATTAATCTTGTATACATATTATTGATGACATTATTAATTTATTGTATTAATATTAAGATATATTTTTTAAACATATATTTTTCCTTACGCGAGATAAATCGAATTTCACATTTTTTTTTTATTTGCAATACTTTAGGCGAAGAGCGGGAATCTTTTTTTATGCTAGCCAAGAGAGGACTTTACTTTAATTTATTATTATGACCGATAAACATGTATGAGGCAATATTTTCATGCATTTCTAGTTTTTCCAAGACTGAATTCGATGGAACTTGAATATTGATTTTTCGTTTTATTTTAGACAAGGAGATTTCGTGGATCTGGGACTCGATTAATTCGCTACTGCCGATACGCACGTCGATCATCGATTCAAAATGCTTCGCCAACTTCGTAGTTATTATCGGACCGTTAGATCTGATCGATCCGCATTTTTCCTGAATAAAATGTAACATATATACATATGTACGATCTCTAACAACACATCCAGAGGACATCCAGAGGATGTTTTACATAAAACTATGGTTATATATTATTTGTATCGAAATAAAATTGCAATTTAAGAAAAGAAAAAGAAACTATGGTTAAAAAGAATGGATTTTAAATAAATAAATCCGATTAATATATTTTGCAAAGAGATCCCATATGCCAATGACATAACTAGGCGGGAGCCTGATCCATCTTCATATTTGTTATTTCTCTTCTAAACTTCCCAGATAGCAAAATGCTAGCAGTATGCGAGCAGTATATCAGCAAATTCAATCATGACTTTGCAGCAGATTTCGCTCTGTTGCGTCCTCATTAAGCTTGATTTCTGGCAGCACGACTTGCCGATATAATAAAATAGAGAGCAAAAATCGAGTATTATTTGCTATTACGTCATGATAGCAGACATATAGCAAATATCGAGCGAAATCTGTCAAATCTGGCGGCAGAAATGCAGTAGAAATCAAGCATGGCCTGCTGTTTCAATGTGACAGCAGAAACACAGAAATCGAGCATAGCCTACTGTCACAATGTGACGACGAAAACACATAAAACACACCTGCAAAGCATAATTACTAATCTAGATGCAATAAAACTGAATATTGGCATAGTTATAAATAATTAATTAAAGATATTTAAGAAATTTAAATGATTAATTTATTAATAATTCGTAAATTTCAAGATTTGTATGAAAATTGAACTCTTTTTTTGTTTTAAACAATTCAATAAATGAAAAATTTTTATTGATCTACTCGGTTGCAGCAAAAGTCGAGCATTGCCTGCTGTCACAATGTGACGACGAAAACACAGTAAAGATAAAACACGCCTGCAAAGCATAATTACTAATATAGATACAATAAAATCTAAATATTGGCATAGTTATAAATAATTAATTAAATATATAAATTTAAATAAATGATTAATTTATTAATAATTCGTAAATTTCAAGATTTGTATGGAAATTGAACTCTTTATTTTGTTTCAAGTAGTCAATAAATGGAAAATTTTCTATTGATATTCGGTTTCCAAACTTTCAGTTTAATATTCTGAGTCCTTTGTTAGAATTCAAAAATTAAGCTGACAAAAATAGATATGGTTTCTGCACACAGCACACAGAACGCGACAACGCTTGCCACGTCATCGCCGCGTCCTGTGCAGGAGTTATATATTACACATTTTTAATTTTATTACACATTTTTAATAGCCATGCTTTGCAATCTTTATATTTGCCTGTAACAAAAATTTGAAAACGAGATAGATACATATAGCGGTAAACGAAAGAACTATAACTTGATATATAACATATCTTAATATTGCTGTGATTCTGCCATTATTTTACGACAACAGACCATGGCTGTGTTTCTGCTGTATTTTTGTTGTTATCTTTTGTAATGGTAGCGCATTATGCTTAATTTTTGCAGCATTTCTGCCATTACGCCGCGCTCACAGATGAATTCGATTTCTAACGATATTCTGCCGATATAGCATGATGTGTCATCATGTTATGTTCCTACACAGAACAAAAACCTTTAATGGACGTCCAGTAGACATCCATCATGGAGATTCGAAACCCCTATTAGTCCATGTAATCTCCTATAGACATCTATTAGACATCCACAATTCCGCGTTCTTACTTCCATTCGACATTCATTTATTCATCAGACTTATTCATATATGTCACATGGACAGCATATGATGTAATTATAGATATTTATTCATGGAGCTTTGATGAATGAATAATAGCCCTCACAGCACATCAACATCCTAATAAAGTTATACTTTAAATTGTAAAAGGTGGTAACATTCCACGGAAATTAATAAATCTGTCATTAACCTTCCAGCGACATGAAAATATCTAAACTCATTCCATTAACATCCCAGAGACCTTGCATTGTATTAATATTCACACAACATGTCAGAAACCTCCTAATATTATTCTTAATAAGGAACCCTTGCAAAAAAATATTATATTGGCAAAAATCAATTAAACACTATTGGTTTTCAATAGCTTTTAATCGTTTTTTTACCAATAATTGAATAGTTCAAACTTTTTTTTTCTTTAATATGGAATTTCGCAAAAAATCCATAAAATTTAAATAAAACGAGCTCTTTATTAGTGTGTTTTTAGAAATACTTCAGATTTATTTAGTTTTTGTTGACATATTATGCCAATACGCAATGCTTTAAATCTACTGTTTTTATGCTAAGAACTTCTGCTTAAATTTTGCAGCATTTTTGTAGCATATAATGATGCAGAAATTGCTTGTTTTCTGCTGCGTTTCTGCCGGCACTAACTGAAACGGCAAATCATGCGCGCCTATTGCCGGAATTCTACTGATACAATATATGTAATGCATAATTTGCAATACGTGATCTGGCAAACTTGGCTATCTGTGGGTTCTTATTCTCTTATTTGTATTAAAATAAAATTGCAATTTAAGAAGAAAAAAAACTATATTAAAAAAGAATGGATTTTAAATAAATAAATCCGATTAACATATTTTGTGCGAACAAATCCCATATATACCAATAACATAATTATTAGGATCTGATCGGTTTTCATATTTGTTATCTCTTTTCTCTTATTTTCTTATTTTTATCAAAATAAAATTGCAATTTAAGAGAAATGAAGAGCATCCAGAGGATGTTTTACATTGTTAAGGATATAATATATTGCATGGCATTTTCCTGTGATACGCGATTGCTCTGACAACGATCAAACATCACTTTGACAGATTTACGTGAATTTCAGACTTCACGCCGATATGATGCGCCAAAAGCAACAATTGCGACAATGGCGGACGACGTTACGCGTAAGAAAAAATCGACCGGCGATCCGCAATTGTCATTGCCGAGGAGAGAGCGTCGAGGATCGCGCCTCGAGAGCGTCGAGTCTCGCGGATATCCCGTGGAAACGGTATCTCTGGAAACCGGCGATTCGAGAATTTCCCGCGGATTCGACGATTCGAAAGCGCCAAGAAAAGGAAAAGGGAACAGCTGGGCGCCGAAACCGATTCGAAAAAACGACCCCGCCGCCGTCTTCCCGCAGAAAAATTTCGTTGCCAGCAAGATGGTGGACGAATATTGGTCGGACGTGCCTTACTATTTTCTCAGAAACCGATCGTTGTTGTGTAAGTAATTTTACCCTCAACATAATCATAATTAGCGCTCTCGTGGTCCTCGTGGGTTCGCCAACGGCGATCTTACATTTATGAAATATCTGTTTGTAAAAGTATTTTAGAATCGGGTTGATTTATTTAAAATCAATTTGTTTTTCTTGTACATATTTTTTCTTCTTCCTTAATTGCAATTTTATTTCGATAAAAATAAGAAAATAAGAAGTTTAGAAGAAAGATAACAAATATATGGATACAGACCCTGGTTACATCATTGTTGTATAGAACCTGTTTACAAAGTATATTAATTGGTTTTATTTATTTAAAAGCCATTCTTTTTTTATTCTTTTATATAGTTTTTTTTTTTTCTTCTTAAATCGCAATTTTATTTTAATACGAATAAGAAAATAAGAAGTTTAGAAGAGAGATAACAAATATGAAGATAAATTAGGCTCTTAATTATGTCAGTGTCGTATGGGATCTGTCTGCAAAATATATAAATTAAGTTTATTTATTTATAATCCATTTTTTTAACCATAGTTTCTTAAGCTTTTCTTAAATTGCAATTTTATTTTGATACAAATAAGGGAATAAGAAGTTTAGAAGAAAGATAAAACAAATACGAAAACAGATATTAGACCCCTAATTACGTCATTGTCGTATAGGATCTGTTTGCAAAGTATATTAATCGGGTTTATTTATATAAAATTCTTTCATTGGCGTATGCGTATTGGGATTTGTTTACAAATATATATTAATCAGATTTATTTATATAAAATTCGTTCTTTCTAATCATAGTTTCTTTTTTTCTTCTTAAATTACAATTATATTTCGATAAAAAAAAAGAGAACAAGAAATTTAGAAGGGAGATAAAACAAAAAACGAAGACAGATATCAGGCCTCTAGTTACGTCATTGGCGTATCTGTGTGCGCGCGCAACGAGCGCTGCGCGCGCCAAAGATGGCGCCGAAAAGCCGCATTATGACAAGCGCTCGTCATCCACACATAAACGTTTCCATCGACGAGGAGAGGTTCGATCGCATTATCGCGTTACCTTCGATTGCAAGATCGGAACGAATCGAAAAACCGGAAACGAGCAGCGTGAATAATAGAATTCCGATTGCGATCGGAAAAAAAGTCATCCGCGGGCGCTACCGACCTGTCAAAAATACGCTCCTGATCGTGAGGCGGTCAGTGATGCCGTAGCCAAGGCGACCGTAGCAGCAGACAAGCAACATCACTCCGGCCAGCCGTCCACAACAAAGTATAGAGGTTCGTCGGAGTGTGTCGCTCCGACTCTTCTCGCGCTTTCTACCGGCGAGTTGTACGAGCCCCACGAGGCGACCGCGGTTTCCTGGGTGACGACGGGCCGCCTTCGGGACTGAGGGACCGAGCGACGAGGGCGAGCGAGAATAAGAGTGTACGTTACGTATATGTGTGTGTATGTGTATGCGTGCGCGCGTGTGACAGAGGGAAAAAGAAGAGCGAGAGAGAGAGAGAGAGAAAAAGAAAGATAGAGAGAGCGCGCCCGGACGACGACGACGACGACGACTACTACGAGGACAGGGGTACACGTCGTTCGATCACACGAGTGTGCCCGGACGCCGTTGCGTTCGAGCACACGCCATTCATGAAGACAGGTGAGTAGAAAAGAAAGAGAGAGGGAGTGAGCACGACAGGTCAGGCCGGATACCATAGTCGTCCGAATCACCCGGTCGTTGTGGAATTTCAAATGTTGATGTCAGATGATAAAGTTCTCTCCATGGCAGTTGATGCATTATCTCTAACAACACACATATTCAAAAGATGACCGAAGAACATCTAGAGGATTTTGATATCCTCTAGAAGACGTTTAAGAGAAAAAATGTCTTCTGGACGTCTTTTGAATATATGTGTTGTTAAGGATTATTTGTAGGCTCTTACAATGATGGTATACAAGTATCCAAGAGGGAGGGGGAGGGGGAACTATCAAAGTTTGAAATTTTGGAATTTTACAGAGTGTGAATTACTGCCCTCACTACAGTAATATGGATTGTCAAATCGCAGGAGATATTTATCTTGCGGAGAATCTTCTTGGATAGTATACAATCTGTTTCCTACAATCCCAATCCTTTCTCCATGTTACTGTCATCAATTCTGTACGCATAGTATGGATATTGATTGAACCTGAGTATCATACTGGAACAGTCTATAACAGAGTGAGATCTTTGGTAGATCTCTGGCTTCATAGATTCCCCTAATTTGTAACGCATTGGCGACCCTATTATACTGTACCTTCTATAGAGTATAGAGCCTTTCTAATATGGAGAAGCAACGAGGTTTTCCAATTAAAATGGGTTTATCAATTACATGAATGCAATCTTTCAGCTGTAAGATCTTCCCCACAACTGATATCTCTAAGCTGATGAATATATTTATCTTTTCAGCTTGCCTGAAAAAATCAATTTCTTTGAACAAATTGTGTAAGTTATATTAAGAACTGTATTTCATTTTTCTTTATGATTCATACTTTGCATTTTCTGTCGCTAATGTTTATCATTTGATTTCGCGCTATCTATTTCTTATCTCCGCCGTTTTACTTTACAACATCTGCATAAGTTCTCACCCTGCGAGTTTATCTGACTCCAGGTGCATTATTTTCATAGGGGCTAAAGAAAAAAAAAATATTAATATATGGAAAGGTAAATTTTGTGTAATACATATGTATAAATTTAAATAATAAATTCTTTCTTGTGATCAAATTACATATAGGAAAATTACACATAGGAATATAAGTGCATTGTATAGATAGGAAGGACTAAAGAGAGCACAAGTTTCTCCCAATCAGTCATGCATAACAGAGGCCAGGTGCACTTATAACATTATGTGTGTAGGTAGATAGATAGGTAACAAACGCAGACTATCATATCAGCCTGCCAATAACATTTGGCAGCACAAATGCTATATAAAACATCACCCCAAGTCTAAATATAATGTTAAATATATCTAAAGAAATAAAATATATAGAATATAACAGATGCTCCAAAATTTTGCATATAAAAATATATCATAAAAAGATATCCTAATTGTATTAAAAAATATGGACAATGCGAATGTTCTCCAAGTTTTAATTTAGAAATCTACTTACAGTGTATATATAATATTATCAGATTAGAAAATGATGATGATAGATAGAAATATATTCATCAGTGAAGTATTTCTTCTCTATTCACACAGTGATGCCAGTTTTCTTTTCAGTTGATTAGAGTAAAGATTACTAGATGATGTAATATTACAGCGCATTTCTCTTTTCTCTAGCAAGTCCTGTATTAATTAGCTGATATATATATCAAAACAAGTGGCCCTTGGATATATCCAGTTACATAATTCTCCTAATCAATAATATCAAGTAGCAATGTTATGATTCTCTTATCAAAATATGACAGAGATTTTTGCCCCTTCCTCCCTCATACAGGATGATTCAGAAGTGATGGTACAAAATGTAATGTACACACTAGTAGAAGCAAAAAAGTCTCAGTAAACATGGGTCCGCAAATGAACTATATACTAGATAACTGTATACTAGATGCTGTTGTACTAGTGTAACAACAAATAACAAAAACAAAATGTACACTTTACTACAAATGTTTTTATTAAACATAAGGTATTTCAGCTGTACTGACTTTAACAAGCAAGATGTCACATGGTACGGTGTGTTAAAGAAGGTGTTCAAAATGCTGTCCTCTCATCTGCACGCAACAATGTAATTTTCTCAGCATTGAGTTTCGAATTCTTTCAAATAATCCCAGTTCATTTTTTAATTGTACACAGATATCTTCGGTGTTGCAATTCTGCGACTGTGTCAACGGGAAAGCCGTAAATCTTATGATAAAGTTTAATAAAAACATTCGTAGCGAGGTATACGTTTTGTTTTTGTTATTTGTTGCTACACTAGTACAACGGCATCTAGTATAAAAGTGTGCAAGGAGAAAAGGACACGATGAGCATGGGTATAAACACACAGTCAGTGTCGGATCTTAACATAATATTCGCACGTATCTCGTAAACGATTCATTTGCGGATCCATGTTTACTGAGACTTTTTTGCTTCTACTAGTGTGTACATTTCATCATTACATTTTGTACCATCACTTCTGAATCACCCTGTATACACATATGTATAAAACATAATCATCTTTCATTACATATTTTACAGCAAGCAGTTTTCAGAGAGGGAGAAAAAAAATATACAGAAGAATGGACCACCTCTTTCTCCCCATGGCAAGGTATATCAACGCAGAAGTAACGTGCGTCGCTTATTAGCTCCCCTGGTCATCTTCGAAGAGAGTGAGGGGTTTATGCAGTTACTCAGGATAATGCTCTCTAATTGCTTTCGTGATCCAACTGCCCTCATTGATACATTTCAACCCTCTTAAAACGAGCCACGTGTGCATGTACGTCAGTTATGTCAGTGTGCGAGCGTCCAGTCACGCGTGGGTAGCCCGTTGAAGTTTCGGGGCACCCTTTATCCTCCCCCTCCCCCACCCATCTCCACCCTAACCGATTTCTTCCCCTTCGATACAATTGTGTTCGGTTGTACCTGCCGCCCCAGCAGGTACACACGCCATTGGTTCCGATACACCATGATACACACGGGCAGTAATAATGGCGGTGACGTGTATCGTTGGTCGCATCGCGAGCTCGGGGCTTCCCTTTGATCTGCGGATTATTGAATGCCACACCTGCGAGAAAGTACGTTATTGCGATCTCGCGAGATGTAGGTTAGGTTAAGGAATAGGGGTGGGAGATATATTTTATATATTGCTTTATAAACGGCGCTCTCCCTCCTCTCTCGACTCTTCCGAGAACATCTGAGAGTGTATCCCTCGGTGAAATATACTTTTCACTTTTTTTGTTTTAGTTGGTGAAAATACAACACTATCCCATGAGCCAGGGTGTCTTTGAAAGATTTCCTCATGTAAAAAAAAAAGGCGGATATCATGTTTTCAAAAATTACTCGAGATTCTCTCCTCTTCTTCTTCGCTCTTTTTTAGCGACAAATTGATTTATCGACTGTACTGAAGCGCTTCAGGATGAATACAATTTATTTATAATCTTGTGTATATTATAGAATATATATAATTTTGCGTTCAAACTTCAAAGGAGAAAATAAGATCTAAATGATGAGTGTTAGTATGTAATAAATCTTTCTTTTTGAGAATATAGATTTTATAATGTGAGAACAAAATACTCTGCGAGATGTAATAATTTATATCACAGAATTTTAAAAGATATAGGAGTAATAATAATTCATTTTAGAAATATTTACATAGCATAAACTTTGTTATATTTAATGATAAATCTCATATGTATCTTGTTTTCATATAATTATTGGAAAATATTCCTGTTTTACGAGATAAAATGGGGTGTTGCAGAGGCACATTTGTGTTCTTAAAGATCTCATTGCTGAGTCTGGTGAAAGATGTTATTGATATTTAGCGAGAGAGTATATATACATATATATATATATATACATGTATATATACATATATATCTCTTTGTTATAGACTCGTCTCTCCAGCAGCGGGGAGATAGTATCGGTGGTGGTGATTCAGTGGGTGCAGAGAGAGGTGAAGGAGTGATTGCCATGACTACGACAGGAGCCCAGTATGCCCTCGCAGCAACATCTACCGGAGCTAATAACAGTGGGGGTAGCTCTGCAGCGGTAGGGGTGGAATCTAAGCCAAGTGTGGTTGTCGTGACTACTACTTCCAGCTCCAGTGGCGGTGGTAGCGGAGCACAGACTCAGTCTGCCAGAGGCCAGCAACTTATCACTGTTGTAACAAGTCCTGATCCTTCCAGTCCAAATAATCTACAGCCTATCCAGGTTAGTAGCAATTATTCTGCATTAATTATGATTTATATGCCTTCTGTCAATGTGTAAGAAGAGAAAATTACTTTTCTGTAATATTATTCCTTATTCTTCAGAATTGTGAAAAATCTCATTTTGTAAAATGCATTTCGTCAAATCACTTTCTACTCTCTTAAAGATTTGTTACTCTATTCTTAAACCTAACCTAACCTGGAAATGTAAGAATTTAATGTAAAAGATATATTATAAATTATTTAATATGTATGCGATAAATATTATAACATCTGCTTATGATACACCTTTATAGGTGCTGTGCACCCAATCTGATAACATGTCTGAGCCATCTGTTCTTAGTGTCTGATAACAATGATACACACAAATGTTGAAGTAAAATTCACAAATCAGCACTCTCTTTCTCTATAATGTACATATCGATATTTATAAATATACGTAAGAGGCATATAACATTTTTTTAAATTTTTATTAAGACAATAAATCATGGGCCAAAAGAACATGCATACTATAAATAATAATTTAGTTATTGGTTCAGGATCCACTTGAAACAGCTGCAGATTCTTCCAACGGCTCGACAGGTACACCAGCACATGTTACAGCGCAAGTAGTGGTAAATACTACCCATTCGGGTCAGCATACTCTAGTGGATTCTGACGCTGCTTCTACATCAGCTGGTACTATTGTCAGTGGTTCTCCACATTACATAACAGTTACAGGTAATGGCCAAGTGTAAACATAACTCTCTAATATATAAAGCATTAAGAATCGGATCTCATTTTATCTTATTGCAATCTGCACAATTCTAATTACAAACAGCATCAAATTGCAAACAATGACATGCTAAACCATAGATATTCATATAACCATAGATTTAGTTGTGTAAACATATAGATAGAAGTTAATGTCAAGTATTTGAAACTCGATTAGGAATAAATTTACTATTTGCGGTGAGTATGAGGATCAGTTTGAAAAATTATAGTGTTTGAGTAGAGATTTGGCCCTTTCCATGCTGCTGAAAAATATGCATCTCTGTACTTCCACTCTGACTACACTAGGCACAAGTGATTCACCATCTTACGCATCCCTCACAACGGCTGTAGGTGAGGGCAGAATATAAACAGCATGCCTTATATATCCTTTATTATCTATACATTTTACTTTTGTAGAATATTAAAGAATGAAAGAATTCCACTCTTACATATATTTATCGATTATTTGGTACTTTCCAATCTATTTCATCTATCTATTGCATTTTTATGCATTTTTGTCAACAAATATAGATACAACTAATCTAGAGTTTTTAGTAATTTACAGAACTGCTCTCTTCTCTCGCTTTATCCGAGTGCAATGCATCAAAGATATATTAGTGATTTTCTCCATTAAGAAAATTTTAGCAATTATAGCAGTGTTTTAATAAAATTGGTTGCATTTACATGTGAGCTTTGTATGTCGATACAAGTGACGTATTCAGATACATTTAGCCATATCTGTTCTTTTTGTTTCAGTGTCCGGTGACGCAGAGGCGGTGGGGTCCGAGTCAGTTTCTCATCCAACCTATGTTCAATATGTTGAGGGGGATGGCTCCACGTATATACCGGCGAATGGCCAGATGTAAGTGATCTTGCATAATCGATTCATAAATTATTTGTAACTTATAAAACATCCTACATTAATCACGTAATATTTCGCAGGACATATCCTGTTTATGCTGTTGGTGAGGCAGGAGCAATGTACACTCCAGCTTCGAATCAGTACTACACTCCAGCAACCACGCCAGTAACATATGCACAAGTATATAATTGTAACATGATAAGAACCATCATAATTATATAATGCCACAGTAATATTAATCTTAATTGTATTGTGGATTAGGTCACAGGACAAGGCTCAAATTCAGCTACCGGACAATTATTATCACAGGGCAATGGTACATACTTGATCCAACAGAGTGTAGTAGATGGAGATCCGACTACTCACGCCCTTATATCTGCGGCCGCCGCGCGCGCTAGCCCGCAAACGGAAACGGCGGTAAGATTGCATGTCTTACGATTTCCTTAGACTGCTTTCACTTTTTAGAAATTGAGTAAACCAGCCTCGATTACATTGAACGATTAATCGCGATACAAAGTATATATTTATATCTCATCTCTGCAAGCATGGGGATCTGTATGATCGTAGGGGCTATTGAAATATACTTAATTTTCTGTTTTTTCAAGAGTTTTAAGAGATATAATTCATTTTTAATGTTTGCTAAAAAATCTCTGCATTTATATGCTGCAAATGTAGAGGGTGATGCAAGCAAAAAAAAAAAAAAAAAAAAAAAAAAAAAATTTTTTAAAAAAATACAATAAATTATTTTGATCAACTGCATAGTTTTTTGGACATCTTATATAATTAAATATATTCTAATATTCATTGTAGATTTTACAATTAAAAACAAATTGTGGATATTAGTACTCGAAAAGAGATACTCTTACTATTCTCTCAATACGGGGGTTAACAATGCATTGGTATGTTGGGTTGTTTGATAGGAGGCTGTGGTTAGCGGGAGTGGCGGGGCGTACTTGATCAGCGGTAATTCTGGAGGTACCACTGTCACCGTGGAGGAAGCAGCGGCTGCGGCTGCAAATATGACGCATGCCACTAGAGTTTCCCAGGCCACTGTAAGACAGAAACCGATTTCCTAGTTCTTTTTCTTAGCTTGTTTAGCGTACTAATCAGTAATTCTTTCAGCATGCTTGCTATTAATCAAATTGCTTTGAAGATACTGCTCTAGTATTGTTGTGCGTAATCCAACTACTTAAAAAACTTTTTTTTGTGTGAAATCTCTAAAAAAACGAGAAATGACATATGGTTATGCGATTTGATAGATTTTTCAAACAATTGTTGCAACGAATCTATTTTTATGTGTTGCTAATATAAATTTATTAGAACTATTTTTATAAAATATGAATATTAATTATACATTATTAAATAGGTGCATTGGTTGCTGGAAAATTATGAAACTGCTGATGGAGTGTCCCTTCCAAGATCGACTCTCTACAATCACTATCTACGCCATTGCTCCGACAACAAATTAGATCCCGTGAACGCAGCCAGTTTCGGGAAATTGATACGTTCTGTATTCTTAGGACTGAGAACTAGGCGTTTAGGGACTAGGTAAAGGGCTTTTGTAGTAATTCAAAGGACATTACGATATAAGGTTACTAGGTGAAAAAACTGGCAAATAAGAACCGGGGTACGATAATTAGTGCGCAAACTTTTTTATTGTTTACTTTTATTAACAAGTATGTATTAAATATGTACGTTCTCAGGGTGTCTACTCCCTAGGAAAACTTAGAAAACCTGGAATTATCAGGAATTTCATTTTTATCTTGAAAAATCAGGGAATTCTCATTCGAACTCGGGGAATTTTTTCAAAAATTATCTCTTTGATCATTTTGTTTTTATATTGCAAACATCAGCAATCTGATTGGCCAATAATTGTGAATTATATGTTTCAAATATATTATAAATATACATCTTTCTCTCTTTGATTATATGTTCATTGTAATAGCAAAAAATACTGAATACATAATATTGAGTACACATTTTTTATTATAATTCTTATAATTAATGATAGAAAATGAAAATATGCAAATGAAAAATGCTTATCTTACAAAAGTCATTCAGTTCTTTTCGGTACATTTTTAAATATAATATTTAAAATTTAAATGAGTTGTATGAGTGAAAAACATTAGAAAACGCACATAAAAAAACTTATTTTAAAAAGTTCCATCTAAAAATTCTCTAATTTTATCTGGAATTTTAAACAAATTACCTGAAAAATCAGGGTATTCTCAGGGAATTTTTTACAAGCTTTGGATAGACACCCTGGTTTTGGACCATATTTTGGTCCATCTCTTTAGCAGATAAAAATATATAAAAATTAAATTCGCATTTAAAACTTAACATGCGCAATATTAGTTGTTACAATCGAAAATCAAATTGAAATCGATAATCGAAGAGAACGATTCACCAAAACCCGAGTAGGATCTGTGCAAATTAGTCGACAACGTTATCGTGCGATATGCATTGATATATCTTTCATTACATGGTTTGTTACTTTAATTATAGGGGAAACTCCAAATATCATTATTATGGAATTCGCGTGAAACCGAGCTCGCCTTTACTTACATTGAACGAAGATGGCACGTCGAGACAACAGCAGAGCGCGAACTCTCAAGCCAAACGATTTAAATTCGTCAATCAGAAGCAAGAGTCATCCTATAACGAAAATAACGCGCATGCCAATACGAATATCTCCTCAAATTCTTCGCCGCCGCAGTATCATCAGTATCTCGGCGAAGCTAGCGGCGCCATTCCCGATTTTCCGGAGATCTTTATCGGTCACGATTCTTCCCTGCCCGAAGATTGCACTCTCGAGGACATTGATACGTTTCGTAGTATATACAGAGAGCACTGCGAAGCGTTTTTGGATGCGGTGTTAAACTTTGAATTTGCCACAGTGGAGAGCCTCTGGCGAGAATTCTGGCGTAGCCAAGACAACAATAATGGTGACGAATGTGAAGAGGAGAAATATTTATCAAAGTGAGATACATACTTTTATCGATATTGTATGAGAAATGCATGTAAATATGATTTATTTTATATCTATTTTTTAAATATGAGTTAAAAAAATTAAAATTTTATTCATGTTTTCTGCAAAATCATTATTTATGTGCGCATCACGCGCTTGCATATAAATTGTATATTATTTATGAAACTTGATATGTACATACAGCATGTGTAATGAACAATAATTTTTATTTTTTAGGACAAAACTATATCAGATGTGTAAATGCATAGGAGTACAAGACTTTATCAAAAAAGTGGATTATACATTCTATCAGAATCTAGTCGAAGTATTAATGCCTAATGTATTACGACCGATACCAAGTATGTAAGATTATATTGTAAGATCCATTGTGTCATTATTCTGTTTTGTGTTTTAAGGTTATTCTTTTTGTCTTGATAAGGTTCGTTGACACAATCTATTCGAAATTTTGCAAAAGGATTGGAATCTTGGTTACAATCAGCAATGGTCGGCTGTCCTGAAGGAATGATGCAAATTAAGGTATTTTTTTAAATCAAATTTATTGTACAACGATATCATTAGGTGATAAAAAATATTAACAAAAAATATGATATTTGAAAAAAGTTTCTCTCTCTCAGAGAATAACTAAGTATGTGTCATGTATAATATAAAAGTGTTGGTTACAGTTAACTGCAGTGTCAGCTTTTGCACAAACTTTAAGGCGCTATACGTCATTAAATCATCTTGCGCAAGCCGCGCGCGCGGTGCTCCAAAATCCTAGTCAAATCAATCAAATGTTAACCGATTTGAATCGTGTCGACTTTCACAATGTACAAGAACAAGTAAGTCAGTATTTTGAAATATTGTCACAGAATTATCTGATTCCCTCTCTTTCTCTCTCTCTCTATCTATCTATCTATCTATCTATCTATCTATCTATCTATCTATCTATCTCTTTCTCTTTCTCTTTGTGCCATTTAAATTCAATATACACAATATATTTTTCGTCTCTCTTGGTAAAGATACTATTATTACATAAAAATTATACATTTATGACTGTTTTTAGGCATCCTGGGTATGCCAATGTGATTATGGGATGGTACAACGTTTGGAGGAGGATTTTAAATCAACGTTACGGCAACAAAATTCTCTGGAAGATTGGGCGATCTGGTTGAAAGGAGTCGTGACTCAAGTTCTTAAACCATTTGAGGAGAAGCCGACATTTGCTAAAGCTGCACAGCAATTTTTGCTCAAGTGGTCATTTTATAGGTATGCATCTTATTTTTTATTACATTAATAATTTATTAATTTTTAATTGAGTTTATGTTATTTTCCTTTATAGCTCGATGGTTATCCGCGATTTAACTTTAAGAAGTGCTGCGAGTTTCGGATCTTTCCATCTTATCAGATTACTTTACGATGAGTACATGTTTTATTTAATAGAACATCAAGTCGCTATCGCAACCGGGACTACGCCAATAGCTGTAATGGGAGATGTTGGTATACTTTAATGCATATATATATATATTGATTATTATAATACTTGTGTCATGACGCAATTGAACGCTATTACCTTGGATTAATCTAGTTACTTTCTCAAAAGATTAATTTGTCATCTTGCAAAATCGATTTTAATCACGTAATTAAATAAAAACTGTTTTTGTTTCAGAAAAGTCAAAATTGTTCTTTAGTTAGTAGCTTTGGAGCAACATCTAACGGAGGTGAGGCACATCATATTGTACAATATGTATAGTTAATAGTTTCACTAGAATTTTATCTTTTTGTTTTATGTTTTGGAGAAATTGATTTGATCCAAGCCACAAAATTGCATTTCAGATGCGTCTAATGCGAGCCAACCTAAACATAAGCTAAGCTAACTGTGCCTTTAGTTTTGTGAGTAAACCGGTATAGCACACACGAAAATGCGAAGATATTAGCACGAAAGCATGCAGGCCTACTTACAAGAACATACTAGTCTCGTAAATTATTATTTTGTATAACGTCAAATTATACGACTATATAAGAAGATTTTTGCATAACACTCAATGTATACAATTTAGATAAGTCTGTGTGATATAGAGAGGTATTGTATCGTACTTCATGAAGCCTTGTCTCATATACAGGTATGGCGCAGGTTCAAGCTATCGTTGGCACGATGTTTAGTATGTTAGTAAATATCGCGAATCTAGTCGAAACATCTTTGGAAAAAAAATGGAAGAGTATACGGGACCATGAATTTGTCATGTCCTCATTAGAATATGTATGAAAAGCCCACTCGATCATGTTTTCCGTGAATCATTCAACGCATTTCTGAAAGTATGATTTTTTAAATGTTTCTATATATTAATATATAGATTAAATATTAATTAATGTATAAGTCTGTAATAATTTGCATGATAATTATACATAATTATTATATAGGATATATATACAGGGTGTCTCACATCCTTCGTACAGTACTTTAATATAGTGTATTCTAGAGATAAAATAGAGTCAAAAATTCTAATACGAAAATTTTGAGACTACAAGTTTTTGAATTATAAGCAATCAAAGTTTGCCAATGATATCGCGTAAAGCTCGCGCGCTCAGATCCGTAACTATACCTACACGCGTACCGATCTGTCATTTGTTATTGATTTTATAAATCAAGTAATATTGATTTTTACCGCACAGCTGATTTTATTGTTTCTTATGTGTATGAATACTATGTACGACGATCAGCTGATATTAACGAACTATAAATGTTGTATGTAAAATATTTAATTTTTTCTTAAATATATATAACAATTTAAATGGTTGATGAATTATTATATTTAAATAAAAATATAAACTTAATATTTTCACACATTTAAGAAACGAAGTTTATTTTTGTTTTGATTGCGCGGAGGTTTTGTGGAAATGAATTTATTTATTTTATCTGTCAGCGATAACAGATGACAGATCAGTGTAAATGTTGTTACGAACCTGAGGGCGCGAATTCTACGCAATATTATTTGCAAACTTTGATCACTTATAACTCAAGAACTATTATAGTCTCGATATTTTTGTATTAAGATTTTTTACTTTATTTTGCCTCTAGAATACGCTATTAAAATATTGTACTATATATCATCTAACATACAGAAAGAATAAACATTAAATTTATTGATTATTAATACTCTAAGATAAAAATTTATATTTGTCTTAATTATATTTAGTTTAATTTATTATATTTGATTTAAATTTCAAATTTTATTTGTTTTTATATCTAAAACACTTGAAATGATTATTATACTAAAAGTGCAATATATTTATATATCCGTATTTGTTGTGACAATGAATAAACTTTTGAAATTATTTGATGTATATGCTTAAAGAAAACTATATTGGGTGGGCTTAAAGTGAACATCAGTTTGTGCATAGGAAGACGCGAGAGAGCAGAAAAATATGCAAAATCAAATGTCTAATCTTTCACTCGCGAATTCTGGTTTGCACAAATTACGCGCAACCAATTAAAAAAATCCGCCCTACTGACGGTAATATGTCAAAAGTATTCCTATTTTAATAGGAATATTTTTCCTAGAGAAAGATCAGATTGCTGTAATGATATATAAACTTTTCAAGTTTACACATGCATATATCCGACATTCATATTTTTTAACGTAATTTATTGATTGAACATCGAGCTCTGTGTGATGGTAATGATGGTAATGATGGTTTTATTTTAAAACAGTCTCTATTGCAGTCCGTTGCTATTCTCTCAGTATAATTAAATGGATAGTACAAAATTCTATTGAAAAGAGAGAAAGAGAGACGCAAGTTTCCAGAGATCGTTTTAATTTACTGACAGAATATACAGTGTGCGTCTTGAATGTATATACATTAATAATAAATAGCAGATGAATAAATACGCGCGATTGTTGAAGTTGAAGGAGAAACTGCAAAGTATATGATAAGCGTGAGTGTTGTCGATTATAATCGATTACGATCATTTAAAAAAAATTGGTTGAGAATATCTATAATAAAAATATGTGTCGATATATGTTTTGTATTCATAAGCACTCCAACAGCGTCTTTTGTATTGTAAAGATATATTAGATCTAAGTCAATATCGCTACAAGTTTAGTATATGTTGAATATGATTTGTTTATATATATTATTTAAGACGAATTTATATATATACATATAAATATATGTATATGCGCGTTGCGAATGTCATGCATGCATTACACGGAATTTTATTTGTTTGAAGCAGAAATTGAAACTATTTTACATTGTCAAATGTGTATTTATAATGAACTATATTCTATATACTTCTGCGAAATTGCTTCTTCAACATCGAACACATAAGGAAGAGATTAATCAAATCGACATGTATTAATTGAACTAATTATTTATATTGTAGCACCAAAGCTAGTAGAATAATTTAACACGTCCCTTTTTCCACAAGTTACTTTTTTTTTACTTTGAGTATAATATTGTTGATTTATTATGTATATCTTAGATGAATTGTATATTTACATAAGTCGCCAGAGGCCTGCGTGTCATGGCCCAAAAGTCTAATTGATGTGTATATTTATGTGAAAAATATTTTTAATAATCATTACGATATAGAGATGCGTGAAAACGCGCAGTTTCAACGAAACCAAAGTGCACCATTGCATAACTTAACTCGCTTATTAATTTGTTTCTGTAACTATAAGATGTATCAGTGAATTTTATATTTTTGCACAAGTTACTTTCTAAATTCCTATTAATTCTCGCTGAAAAGTATAGGAAAATGTATAAGAAAGTAATGTGAGCTCGCTTATGAAAATCAAGAATTTTATCCTCTGACATCATATCTTTAACAATGCAGAATTGCGTGCAAGTATTTTTAGACACAGAATAAATGTTGAATTAATATCACACAGTCTTCACTGCAAATGATATACATATATATTTATATACATATGTATATGTCTACATCTTGCAACATTATTTCTTAAATAAAAATTACAGTTTAACATATAAAACAATAGAAATGATAGTCATGATGACACATTCAAAAGTGATTTAGCTGAATCAGAATGAATATTATTTTATAAGCACAATGATAATGCAGTTAGTGATCGATTTCTATATTACATAATATGTTACATAAAATAAACTCACACTCTTTATTGAATTTCTGATGAAGCTACATCGATCTTCCCGAAACAGACTGAACGTTTGGCAAAAGAGAAACTTGGTGCCTTTTATTTTATAAAAATAAAGGAACATAAGCATTTTTTTCCACATTGCATTCTAATTATGGCGAATACACATACACGACATAAATCGGAGTAGTGCCGTCGTCGATAAAGAGGTATATAAGATATCTTTAATTTATTGTATAAGATTATTGCGTATTCTAGTCAACAAGAAGATAGCGTTAAGTGGTGAGAAAAACAGGGATTGATGAGAAAAGAGAGAGAGAGAGAGTACATCGAGCAGGATTTAGGACGTTTCCGTACTGTAATGAGCTTATACGTGTAAAGATATAAAACAAAATCTATCGTCGATATCTATGTGTACTTAGAGTGTAAGGATACAACTTTATATGGAGCGATTGTCGCAGCGTTCTTTTGCCGCTGGTATATGAAAATTCGACAAGCAAAGCGACTAGGATGTTGAGAAAGATGCACGCGAGCGAAAAAGAACTCTAATAACACACATGTTCGGGAGACGTCAGGAAGACATCCAGAGAAGGACATCTATGTAAAATATCCTTCAGAGAATATCTATGTAAAACATCTGGATATCCTCTGGACGTCTTTTGGACATATGTGTTGTTAGGGAACATTCGCGTTTTTCTTCTGGGACATCCTTCTGTGCATCCTTCCCTGTGCAAATTATACTTATCGCTCCAATTGTAAGTTTTACAATCGCCGCAAAGACCGGCGTATAAAAGTAGTCCGATAATAACTGTATGCAAGATCAAACACATACATTGTGGTTTCCTATGTTGCGAGATAAGTATATAAACACGGCCTTAAAATATATTCCGATGAAGAAGGACAAGGGAAAACAGATTTGAGAGAAGTAATTTGTGACGCTGCCCACGAGAGAAAACCGGAAAAGTAGAAGAGTCATCGTTTTTCCTTGTGACGTATAGAAGATATTTTGATACCTCCAGATTTGCATAAATCAAGTGTCATTCATTATTGCTTGAATAAGATTATTTTTACTGAACGCCGCTCAAAAAAAAAAAAAAAAAAAAAAAGAAAAAAAAAAAAAAAAAACACAGTAAACTTATAATATATGAATTGCGCGAAACATAAGAATCTCTAAAAGAGTCTGTGTGAATTGTGCGGATCACGAGAAATAAATAATAAATCTATGTTTAAAACTTGTAATCGCACGATCTCGAGACTTAATAACCACTTTTATCCCGTCATCTCTAGCGAAATTTTATATAAACATATACATGTAAAAAAAAGTATCAATTTGCATTTGAGGTATCGTAGTTCAAGGATAAGTAATAGAAAAATTATGCAATTAAAAAGCAATTCTGGATTTTGTTTATAGTTGAAATTAATTCAATATTATTTAATAATAACAGCAATAGGCTCAGAGTACTAACGATACTAGGTGAGGAAACTGGCAAATTAAATTAAGAGTGTGGTTATTAGTGCGTGGTTATTAGTGCAAACTTTTTGTTGTTTAATTTCATTGATAAAATATGTACGTTTTGGAGGGTTTCTTTTGGTCCATTTTCAGCATAGATAACAATATAAGGGTGTCCCGAAATTAAATGTCAAAACTTCAGGAGCGTGTGGGGAATCGATAAACTAAGAAAAAAGTCCTTTAGAGATTTTATCGTTTTTGCTTCGTTTTGAAAAAAAACAAAAATTTTCACCAAAAAACTTAAAACAACACTAAAATTATTATATCGGAAAGTATTATGAGATAAAAGTTGTAGAGTATGGATGAATTAAGAAAAGAGAATGAATTAAAATTCTCCTAAAGTAAAATTAGAGGATTGTAAATAAATACACGACAACGCGAAATTATTGTATCCTGTTTACTTTAATTTATGGATGAAACAAAAAAAGCTTATAAAAAAAGAAATCACTATCTCAGTTTAAAATGCCGCTTATTGATTGAAGTATTATCTTTTTGCTCAGCAAAATTATACTATGTTTTGTTTTGTTTATTATATGACCTTGTAGTGCGGATTTGTTTCATCCGCTGATTGTTTCTCAACTGAGAAAGTTCGTGTGTGAAGAGGACTAGAAAACAAACTTGTACACAAATCCGAAAATTAATTATAAAAGATATTCAGAAAGGTTCTTCGCAAAGAAAAGCAGCAACAAAATTCGAAATAAGCAAGACCCAAGTGCAAAAGCTATGGAAAAAATTTCGGGAATCTGGTTTTGTGTTGTGGACAGAGCAGTAAGAGGAAGAAATTGAGCGACTACTAATTATCAATCGGAACGACTCGCGTATTGTACGAGAAATTAAAAAAATCCATATTTAACGGTACGGGCCATTCAAGAGATATCGCTAAAGATATCGTATAAAACAATTCGGCGCAGACTCCGGGAAGCAAACTTGCACAGCCGATTTGCAAGAAAACGGCCCTTTATCAATAAGCGAAATAAAATTAAGCGTCTGGAGTTTGCAAAAAAATATGCAGAAATGCCGATTAACTTTTGGAAAAAGATTCTATGGTCTGACGAGAGTAAATTTGAATTATTTAACCGGAAAACAATTAAGGCTCAGAATGTGGAGAAAAAGCGGGGAAGAATATCAAGAGCATCACTTGCAGCAGACTGTAAAGTACAGAGGAGGCAGCATTATGATTTGGGCTTGCTTTGCTTGGTCAGGAGTAGGGAATTTAGTCAAAATCAATGGTATAGAGTGACGACAAATACGTATATTGACATCCTCTGCGAAAATCTGGAGACATAATTGCTTCAAGTCGGGTTGGAAGACAATTTCGTTTTCCAGCGGGACAACGATCCGAAACATACGGCGAAAAGTACTCAGACATTCTTCAAATCGAATGCAATAAAACTTCTTGATTGGCCTCCACAATCACCCGACTTATATTCCATAGAAAATCTATGGTCGATTTTAGATGAGAAGATCGATAAAACTTGGGTAACCAACAAGAAAAATTATTTTGCGGCGTTTAGAAGAGCTTGACGAACTAGGGACGACTTGACTTTTTGAAAATTAAATGCGATTTCTTTTTCTTGTACTATTATTAAACGGAACATTTCTTGAAAAAAAAACGAAAAAAATTAATCTGAAGAAAATATTATTTTTTTGCTCTGTAAATATTAGAATTAAGTTAATAAAGAATTATTTGAGCCAAAAACATTCAAAATTTTCTTATGAAAGATGGTTTTTTCTTTTTGTCAGTCACTGTATAAGCAAAATCACATTATAGTTTATTCATCTTAGCGTTTTTTATGTTTTACATACACTCATTGTTAGCATAATCCGCTTTTTTCTGACGAAGCTTCTTATCGAAAGAGAACGCTATATAATGATTTTTTATTTTAATTTATTTTAGATAATTTACTGTATTATTCTAGAAACAAGTGTATAAATTTCCTCATATCGCTGTCTCTCATCCTGTTGTTGTCCAAAAGTTCCCAGACAGCACAAGGATGTCCTTAGGACGTCCAAAGGGCATCCAGGACATACATGTAGGATATCCTGAGGATATCCTATTTTAATCCTCGGATCTCCTCTGGATGTCCTGAGGAAGAGTAAATGATAGCCGTACACTAGCCTCTGGAGAATCCAGGGAGATCCTGTGGAACATCTTAAGGATTTCTATAGGATATGTTAGGGATATTTTTCATACGTTAAAAGGAACAAATTCTAAAATTTAAATATAAATTAAGATTGCGTTCTGTTATTTACTGCCAATACTAAAAATCTAATACTAAAAATAGTTCACGTTCTTTAATATTTGAGGTTTTCGTGCTGTACATGAATATTTTAGGTTTGGCTTCCGGGTTTGAGTCGTGTAATATTTTCAAAACAATCCAATATCTGACTTCCTTATGTTTGGATTGCATCAGAAATTGAACTGATAAAAAATAATTATATTTTTAATTTCCTGTTAGTTGCTCTTTGCAAGCTTTATATAATTCTCATGACCAAATCTCAAATACGAGTTTGCGCTTCGCATAGCGGTAAACAAACTAACTAGCGGTTGAATACTATTTTTTGTAAGGTTTTTGGAATGTTGCGCATAGTAACATTTCTCATAAATTATTAAATAAATAATAATTTTGAATATGTGAAAATGTGCGCATCAAATTCAATTATTAATATTAAACGAAATTAATGTTAACAATTAATTGCACATGTATATGTCCTCTGGAAATCCAAAGGACATTCAATATAATAGACAGGGCAGGTATCCTACAGACATCCAGGGGTTATCCAATGGACATTTATAGGACATTAATACTTATTATTACAATACTTAAAATTTCTAAATTATATTAAATAGCCTACATAACCGAAAGTAATCATGTATGCATATTAAATTTTCATAAAATATATTTATAATAATATCTTAAAACATCCTACAAATATCCTGAACCATCCTGGACATATTCAGGATGATCCTGAGGACGTTTTGTACTGTCTGGGTTAAATATTCGCATATTTTTATGTATTTTTAACTTGCACGAAAAAGCAAAAAAACTTGTCTATTTCTGTTCGTACTTTCCTTCGCAATTTACATTTAAATTGAAACAACTAAATATTCAGGTTGTGAGAAAAAGGAGGGAGAGAGGTAGCAGATAAGGAAAATTGTAGAAAAATGTAAAAAGGAAATTAACATTTTGCATATAAAAAACTGATGAGAGATTTATAAGATTCCTGCGCATTTTTTCATTACAGCATATATTGAATTATATAAGCAACAGGAATGAAGTGTGTTTTTTTCTTGCGACATCATCGAAAGATATCGTAGAATTTTTTCGCATTATTTTGTACACTATTCACCTCCGATAATGTGAATTGATAAGATGTACCGAAAACTTTCTTTTAAATTATTCTGTATTAGTAAATATACATATAACTGAATCTTGTGTATTGTACATTTTTATAGCAAAGTTAAATTTTATGATTATTATTATCTTGTAGGAATTAATAAATAACTCATGATTATTCATCAAAAGTTATTTATTAATCCACAAGTCTCTCTCTCCCCCCCTCTCTCCCCCATCTCCCCCCTCTTCCTCTCTCTCTTTCTTGGAAAGAGAATCTATGTTTTATTATATCGAAATATATTCCGTATATTTTATTGCATTAGCATGTATAAAAAAATAATTTTAATATGTCAATGTGTTTTGCAGGAAAGTAAAATTTGCATCATTTGCTTTTAATGTCGCTTTTAATGCCTCAGTGAGAGAGAAGTGTCGCCACCTGAGCTATTTCGTGCTAGAAACAAAACTGGTAATAAAAGTGTTGCGTGATATCTCATTAGGTAGAAGCACGGTTTCGTAAATATCCGTATATATTTGTAAACGAAAAATGTTTAAAATTTTTTAAATATTCACGTTATCTATTCTTGCATAATCTTTAAGGGTCGGCAGGAGTGACGGCCAAACTCCGAATTGATATTGGAGACCTCGCGCGATGACAATGCGAAACTCCGACTTCAGGATTACCAATCTGAGAAATAAATTCTCGATCTCTATGTAGAGGTGTATGTCTATATACGTACACACACGATTGAATTGCTCGCGTGGACGCACCGTGGAGAGGAAAGATAGAAAAGGATCAACGATCACGTTATCCTTGTTCCTCTAGCGTATCGCTTTATAGCCGAGATACGGCCTGAAAATGCTTTTTGGCCTCTCGTGGCAAAAAACAATAATGCAACTAGGCTAACAATATATTTTTATTGGCATGATGCATGATTGCAAAGATCACAATCA